CAGTCAATTGAGGTCACAGGCCGCAGTGTGCCGCGTTGATCCGACTCTGAAGGAGATGAAGGGGAGTCGGGTCAGATGATGAAAGTGCAGGAAAGAGCCACTCTGAGCAGGCTTGTTCTGCTTGCAGGACGCTGAGTTTTTGTTTGACACTTTTTTTTTTTTTCTTTTTGACTTCGCTGAACTTCCTGTAACTTTTACGAGGTGTTTACAGTACTAACTACTATGAGAGGATCACCTGTGACCAGATTTATGCCAGCCATACATGGGCCAAAAATCGAACCTTAGAAAATAACCTCGGAATAATCTGCTAATTTTCACTCTGTTAGTGGGTCAATGGCACCGGCCGATTTTCATGGTTCCTCCCTTTTTCGGTGATCGGGCATGTTGGAAAATTCCAAAAAGTAATATGTGCATGAGCCGTGACCTGGAAGGAACAGAAGTTTCGCCTGTTATATGGGGTGAACTGTATGACTTGGTCAGCCGATTTTCAAAATCAATGATGGCGCCATCGGATTACCGAGCGAACGACGTTTCTGATTTTTGGATGGAAAATCGTTCAGAATTCGAACCATGTATGGCCTGCATTAGGGCTTGTGTCAATGGGCTCTTTTGTATCACAACTGCTTCTCCCCGTGCAAGTGGATTGGAATGAAAAGCAGGTTGATGTAGTTTAGGAGGACAACTGCAAGTCTAATGCACCTGTCAGGAATCTCTGAAAGGTCTCCAGTGTCTCATACCGATGTCCGATCTAGCGGAATACACCAAGCAGAATGTGCCAATTGACACAAGCCCTAACGCCCCCCCCCCCCCCCACATGGGTGTTCCAATCAGGTCCGCATGTCAGTCTTTCGTGTGGACCTGATCAGAAGGTCCATGGAGCCCTATGGAAAGGCGAATGTAAAGGGATTTCTGTCTGTTTACACCCATCTACCTACCTGTCCCGGTCCAATTTTTGCAGACTAGAACGGAGGTAGCCTGTTCGGACAGCACAGTGGCTAAATGGTTAGTACTTCCACCTGGCAGTACTGGGGTTGTTGGTTCAAATCCCGACCACTGCACCACCTGCCTGGAGTTTGTTCTCCCTGTGCCTGCGTGGGTTTAAAAAAATAGTAAATAATAGTAATAATAAAAATACAAACAAACTGCAACTGCCCCAATCTATAACTGGCCTTTGCAGCAAGGAGCATATGGAAGGACGATGCATGGCAAACAGAGAAAAATTCCCAGCTCAACTTGCCAACCAGCCTGCAACCAACTGAATTGTCCTGTCGAACAGTTCACATTAAAAACGGATTTAGTTTGCACATACATGCGTACGCTGCAGAGCCTCTACCCAGCACCCCGGTACTCCATAGTACCTCCATAGTAGAAGCACATGTATAATATTGGATAGATTGAGGGCAGGTAAGCCTGGAGGGAGCCCACCCCTCCTTTAAAGGCATAATAATAAACATGTTATACGTATCTGCTCTGTGTAATGGTTTTACACAGAGCAGCCCCAATCCTCTTCTTTTTGGGTCCTGTGCCCACAGTCTTGGCCTGTGCCCTCAATAGCAAGCCTCTTGCTATGGGGGCACTTGAGCAGGTTCGCTCCCAAGCTGCTCTTTTGTAAATGGACATTGTCCATTCACACAGAGTGCGGCTCAGCCCTGCCCCTTGCTCTTTCTTCATTAGCTCACTGCCTGTGATTGAGCCCAGGGGCGGACTGACAACTCATGGGGCCCCCGGGCAATAGGGGATCATGGGGCCCCTGTGTCCTTTCCCACACTCAAAAGCCTATAAAAGGTACCAGGGGCATTTCATGGGGCCCCCTACTGACTCCGGGCCCCTGGGGGGTTGCCCGAGTGTTTGAATGGTCAGTCCGCCCCTGATTGAGTCAGTTTCCCCGCTGCTGCCTGAGCCAATGAGAAAAGAGAGTCCCAGGACAGCTGAGGCTCCCGTGCACATCGCTGGATCGAGATGGGGCTCAGGTGAGTGTAAGAGGGGGCTACGGGGGGAGATTTAATTTGTTCAAACCTCTGGTTGAATGAAAGGAAATGACTCAATGACTTCCACATCGAGTGTAAGGGTTGTATTCTGACAGTGGGGGGGACTTCCCTGATGTCGGAATACTAATCCGCACCGCCAGCTACAGGTGGCAGCGCTGATCGAGAGAGAATTTTCCAACAGGATAGCCTTCGACTTGTTTACAACCAACCTGTTGGAAAATTGCAACCAGCCTATCCATAAATGGAATGAAATTCAACTTTTCCTTGCTGATCTGTTCTCCCCCCCCTTTTCCCCTTCCCCCCCCATTTTTTTTTACCACTTCTCCCACCCCCTTCCCGCCACATTTCAATGCATGTATGGCATGTCAGGAATGAATGGGGTTTGTACACATGGGAATTGATGCCACAGAGACAGATCTGCCGGTTTGCAATTGCCTAAATGTGTATGATAAGCACAGCTCCCCCCTAGAGCTCTGTGGGGTTCTGGCAGCTCACAGGTCTTTCACTTTGTATGTGGAAGTGGAAAACTCCTTTAAACGTGACTAGGCATTATTGAAGAGTGACTGTATCAGAGTGAACTCCTTGTACAAACTTGGCTGGGTGCCTGCTACTTCCCGGCATCTACAAACTCATATGACTGCCTTACGGCTGCAGCCTCTCCGCCAGTCATTGGAATAATTGCACAACAGGAAACGGGTGGAATCTGTATTATAAATGATTTCAGCTTTAACTGTTTTGTGAAGATCTTGCTTCAGAGCCCCCTGGCAAAAACATACATATCTGTCTCCTTGTACTGAGGTGTTTGGCCAATTTGCAGCAGAACCTCCACTACTTGTCCTGGCTGGGAGTCTGTGTTCTGTACATAGGATAGTTCCCAGAAAAAACGTTCAACACTCATGTGGAAGATTTAAAGTGTTACTAAACCCAGGACCCTGCATTCACTGTATCTGGTCTCCCCGGACCCTGCATTCACTATATCTGGTCTCCCCGGACCCTGCATTCACTGTATCCGTTCTCCCCCGGACCCTGCATTTACTATATCCGTTCTCCCCGGACCCTGCATTCACTATATCTGGTCTCCCTGGACCCTGCATTCACTGTATCTGGTCTCCCCGGACCCTGCATTCACTATATCCGGTCTCCCCGGACCCTGCATTCACTATATCTGGTCTCCCCGGACCCTGCATTCACTATATCTGGTCTCCCCGGACCCTGCATTCACTATATCTGGTCTCCCCGGACCCTGCATTCACTATATCTGGTCTCCCCCGGACCCTGCATACACTATATCTGGTCTCCCCCGGACCCTGCATTCACTGTATCCGTTCTCCCCGGACCTGCATTCACTATATCCGTTCTCCCCCGGACCCTGCATTCACTACATCCGGTCTCCCCGGACCCTGCATTCACTATATCCGGTCTCCCCGGACCCTGCATTCACTATATCTGGTCCCCCCGGACCCTGCATTCACTGTATCCATTTTCCCCGGACCCTGCATTCACTATATCTGGTCTCCCCGGACCCTGCATTCACTATATCTGGTCCCCCCAGACCCTGCATTCACTGTATCCATTTTCCCCAGACCCTGCATTCACTGTATCCGGTCTCTCTGGACCCTGCATTCACTATATCTGGTCTCCCCGGACCCTGCATTCACTATATCTGGTCCCCCCGGACCCTGCATTCACTGTATCCATTTTCCCCGGACCCTGCATTCACTATATCTGGTCTCCCTGGACCCTGCATTCACTATATCTGGTCTCCCCGGACCCTGCATTCACTATATCCGGTCTCCCCGGACCCTGCATTCACTATATCTGGTCTGCCTGGACCCTGCATTCACTATATCTGGTCCCCCCGGACCCTGCATTCACTATATCTGGTCTCCCTGGACCCTGCATTCACTATATCTGGTCTCCCTGGACCCTGCATTTACAATATCTGGTCCCCCCGGACCCTGCATTCACTATATCCGGTCCCCCCGGACCCTGCATTCACTGTATCCAGTCTCTCTGGACCCTGCATTCACTGTATCCGGTCTCTCTGGACCCTGCATTCACTGTATCTGTTCTCCCCGGACCCTGCATTCTCTGTATCCATCCTCCCCGGACCCTGCATTCACTGTATCCGGTCTCCCCCGCGCCCTGCATTCACTGTATTCATTTTCCCCGGGCCCTGCATTCACTATATCTGGTCCCCCCGGACCCTGCATTCACTATATCCGGTCTCCCCGGACCCTGCATTCACTATATCTGGTCTCCCCGGACCCTGCATTCACTGTATCAATTTTCCCCAGACCCTGCATTCACTGTATCCGGTCTCTCTGGACCCTGCATTCACTATATCTGGTCCCCCCAGACCCTGCATTCACTGTATCCATTTTCCCCAGACCCTGCATTCACTATATCTGGTCTCCCCGGACCCTGCATTCACTATATCTGGTCCCCCCGGACCCTGCATTCACTATATCTGGTCCCCCCGGACCCTGCATTCACTATATCTGGTCTCCCTGGACCCTGCATTCACTATATCTGGTCTGCCTGGACCCTGCATTCACTATATCTGGTCCCCCCGGACCCTGCATTCACTATATCTGGTCTCCCTGGACCCTGCATTCACTATATCTGGTCTCCCTGGACCCTGCATTCACAATATCTGGTCCCCCTGGACCCTGCATTCACTATATCCGGTCCCCCCGGACCTTGCATTCACTGTATCCGGTCTCTCTGGACCCTGCATTCACTGTATCCGGTCTCTCTGGACCCTGCATTCACTGTATCCGGTCTCTCTGGACCCTGCATTCACTGTATCCATCCTCCCCGGGCCCTGCATTCACTGTATCCATTTTCCCCGGGCCCTGCATTCACTATATCTGGTCCCCCCGGACCCTGCATTCACTATATCTGGTCTCCCTGGACCCTGCATTCACAATATCTGGTCCCCTCGGATCCTGCATTCACTGTATCCATCCCCCCCGGACCCTGCATTCACTGTATCCGGTCCTCCCGGACCCAGCATTCACTGTATCCGTTCTCCCCGGACCCTGCATTCACTATATCCGTTTTCCCCGGACCCTGCATTCACTATATCTGGTCTCCCTGGACCCTGCATTCACTATATCCGGTCTCCCCGGACCCTGCATTCACTATATCCGGTCTCCCCGGACCCTGCATTCCCTATATCTGCTCTCCCTGGACCCTGCATTCACTATATCTGGTCTCCCCGGACCCTGCATTCACTATATCCGGTCTCCCCTGTCCCCGCATTCACTATATCTGGTCTCCCTTGTCCCCGCATTCACTATATCCGGTCTCCCACAGTACACACAACATGGAAGTGCAATTATTTTAGTAAATATAAACTGCTAAATACCTTTTCTCATCAGCAGTATATAGCGTTTTGTGACTTCTATCAGTGTCCAGCCAAGCACTGATTAACCTCTTCCCCTGCTGATTGTTTTCCCACGCACAAAGAAATGATCAGTCTAAAAATTGAATGTTCGGTGTATTGTAACACTGAGAGACAGAATAGCAACAAAAAATTCAAAAGAAATGCATGTCTAACAAATGATGACTGATTTGCATGTTCATGAGGGAAATAAGTATTTGATCCCCTTCACAAAACATGACTTAGTACTTGGTGGCAAATCCCTTGTTGGCAATCACAGAGGTCAGCCGTTTCCTATAGTTGGCCCCCAGGTTTGCACACATCTCAGGAGGGATTTTGACCCACTCCTCTTGGCAGATCCTTTCCACGTCATTAAGGTTTGGTGGCTGACATTTGAAAATCTGTGGAGGGAGCTAAAAGTTCAAGTTGCCAATCAGATTAAGGTCTGGAGACTGGCTAGGCCACTCCAGGACCTTAATGTGCTTCTTTTTGAGCCACTCCTTTGTTGCCCTTGGCCGTGTGTTTTGGGTCATTGTCATGCTGGAACACCCATCCACGACCCATTTTCAATGCCTTTACTGAGGGAAGAAGGTTCTCACCCAAGATTTGGTGGTACATTGCCCTGTCCATCGTCCTTTTGATGCGGTGCAGTTGTCCTGTCCCCTTAGCAGAAAAACACCCATAAAGCAGAATGTTTCCACCACCATGTTTCACAGTTGGGATGGTGTTCTTGGGGTCATAGGCAGCATTCCTCCTCCTCCAAACACGGCGAGTTGAGTTGATGCCAAAGAGCTGGATTTTGGTCTCATCTGACCACAACCCTTTCCACCAGTCCTCCTCTGCATCACTCAGATGTTCAGTTTCAGACTTCAGACGGGCCTGGACATGTGCTTTCTTGAACAGAGGGACCTTGCGGGCACTGCAGGATTTCAATCCTTGTCGGCATAGTGTGTTACCAATTGTTTTCTTGGTGACTGTGGTCCCAGCTGCCTGGAGATCATTGACAAGATCCTCACGTGTAGTTCTGGGATGATTCCTCACTGTTCTCATGATCACTGACACTCCACAAGGTGAGATCTTGCATGGTGCACCAGACCTAGGGAGACTGACACTTGTTTTGTGTTTCTTCCATTTGCGAATGATTGCACCAACTGTTGTCACCTTCTCACCAAGCTGCTTGGCGATAGTTTGGTAGCCCAGTCCAGCCTTGTGTAGGTCTACCATCTTGTCCCTGACATCCTTGGACAGCTCTTTGGTCTTTGCCATGGTGGAGAGTTTGGGATCTGATTGTTTGATTGCTCCTGTGGACAGGTGTCTTTTATACAGGTAACAAAATGAGATTAACAGCACTCCCTTTAAGAGACTGCTTCTAATCTCAGCTTGTTACCTGTATGAAAGACACCTGGTAGCCAGAAATCCTGCTGAATGATAGGGGATCAAATACTTATTTCCCTCACAGGGGCGGACTGACAACTCATGGGGCCCCCGGGCAATAGGGGATCATGGGGCCCCTGTGTCCTTGCCCAAACTCAAACAAGCCTATGAAAAAGGTACCAGGGGCATCTCATGGGGCCCCCTACTGACCCCGGGCCCTCGGACAGTGCTCGAGTTTCCAAATGGTCAGTCCACCCCTGTTCCCTCATGAACATGCAAGTCAGTGCATCATTTGTTAGACATTTCTTTTGAATTTTTTGTTGCTATTCTGTCTCTCAGTGTTACAATACACCGAACATTCGATTATTAGACCGATCATTTCTTTGTGAGTGGGCAAACATTCAAGATCAAATACTTATTTCCTTCACTGTGTGTGTATATATGTGTTTGTGTGTGTATTTTGTTATTATTATTTTTTTTTTTATTATAGATATATATTGTGTGTGTGTATGTATAAAATATGACCTGCTTTCTTTAGGCCAGATTATCTCGTTGATAAAGCAAGGAGCCATATGGAAGCTTAGAGCATCCAATAAAAATTTACCGTTTTTTCTTCATACAGAGATTTCGATTTTGAAGAATGATTTGTGGTTTATTGCTTTCTGCCTGAGAAAAGAAAGCTGGAGAGCATTACTCACACTGTGGAGGGATCGCTGCTTCCCATTTCCCATCCGCTTTCCCCCACGCCTGTGAGAGTGTCTGAGTTGGATTTCCCAGTCCTCGCTCACATGCCTGCAAGCGCTACAATCTGTGGAAAGAGACGTTTTGACAAATAAACGGTTTTTCTTGCTGAGACAAGCATTTAATAGGATTTTCTCACTTTGCTTTCCCACCGGAACAAGAATATCAGGAATGTATGCCAAACATACTGAATGTGTAGGCATCAGGGGGGGTTGTTGTGTATTTGTGGAAACGTAGTGCATGCTTCCTAACAGGGGCGGACTGACAACTCATGGGGCCCCCGGGCAATAGGGGATCATAGGGCCCCTGTGTCCTTGCCTAAACTCAAAAAAGCCTATGAAAAAGGTACCAGGGGCATCTCATGGGGCCCCCTACTGACCCCGGGCCCTCGGGCAGTGCCCGAGTTTCCAAATGGTCAGTCCGCCCCTGCTTCCTAACCTGCATTAACCCTTTGTGTTCCTTAGTGGGGGGGGGGGAGTTTGGGCAAAAAAGCTCACTGTGCGGTTAGTGCCCGGTCATACCGGTGCAAATTGAAATCGCATCTAATGAATGTGTATGTCAGCGTCTTAACACGTGCGATTGGCTGCAGCGTGATTTCTAAAGTAGTTCTTGCATTACTTTTTCTGCAGTTTATTGCGATTTCACATAAATAGAATATAATGGAAATCATTAAAAATCTTTACAAGTCGCAATAAAGTCTTCAGAAATCTCACACAAATCGCACGATTTTAAATCGCTGTCGTGTGACCAGTGACTTAAAGTCTGTACATGGGAGATGTTTTACCTACCAAGGGCTTTGTAACTGTTCAGCCAGTGCCAGGGGCGGACTGACCATTTGGTGAAACTCGGGCACTGCCTGAGGGCCCGGGGTCAGTAGGGGGCCCCATGAGATGCCCCTGGTACCTTTTTCATAGGCTTTTTTTAGTTTGGGCAAGGACACAGGGGCCCCATGATCCCCTATTGCCCGGGGGCCCCATGAGTTGTCAGTCCACCCCTGGCCAGTGCTGTGATTTCCAGACAGAAGTCAGCAGATCAATACAGTTGCACAAGAAGGAAAAGCAGTCACTATATATTCCCAATGTACGAATTTCATTTCAAACTATACAAATAAACCTGATTAATATTCCTTCTAACACCTCCAAGAGTATTCATGTCAGAGGGAGCTCTATTCTAGCTATATGCAGATTTGTTTCTTTAAAAACACCCATAGATGTAAAACAACCGACACCTGATGTGACCATTATCCCACTGCCAAGTATATTTAAAGAATATACTGTATTACCCCTACATTTCATATTCCTGATATGTGCCTGCTGTACTTTTATAAAAAAAAAAAAAAAAAAAAGTCTCCTGTTCTCTTTTTATTGATTCCTTTGTGTGAAATCCCTGGTGTTCCTGCCATTCCCTCTATTCTGCTATTAAAAACTGACCACACTAGGCATGAGAGCATGGTCAGTTTTCTGTCTGTGCTGGAAGCTAATCCAATGGTCAAGCTTTTGCTGACACCCCCCTGCACAGCCATTCACCGGGAATACCAGTGCACTGCTGTTTCTCCTCCCCCACCTTTTTATGCTCTTTATGTAGCCAAGTACAGAAGGAATGCGATCACTTTACAATATAAAAAAAAGGAAAAATGGGTGTGTGTATGTATGTATGTGTATGTGTATGTGTATATATGTGTGTGTGTAGGTGTGTATGTATGTGTATATATATATGTGTGTAGGTGTGTATGTATGTATATATATATATATATATATATGTATATGTGTGTATGTATGTATATATATATATATATATATATATATATATATATATATATATATGACTCTGACCCAAATTACATCACCAATCCTGTCTCCAAATATCATCCAAACCGTCCTCTCCGCTCCTCGCATGACCTCCTGCCCTCTAGCTCCCTTGTCTCCTCCTCCCATGCTCGTTTCCAGGACTTCTCCAGAGCTTCCCCCATCCTCTGGAACTCTCTACCCCAATTTATCAGACTATCGCCTACTCTGCTCACTTTTAGGCGATCTCTGAAAACCTCTCTCTTCAGGGAAGCCTATCCTGCCCTCAGCTAATAATGGAATCTTCTACTCCTCCTACCAGTCCATCCCCCACAGTTACTACCTTTTGTACCACTAGCCCCTCCCTGTTAGATTGTAAGCTCCCAGGATCAGGGCCCTCCTATCCCTCTTGTATTGGACTGTATTGTTGCTGTATTGTCTCCCGTTATATTGTAAAGCTGAGCAAACTATTGGCGCTATATAAATCCTGTATAATAATAATATATATATATTTGTTTTTTTGGGGAATTTTTGCATCCATATACAAAGGTTTTGCCTTTCATTTCTATTTCAAACTGAATGGGCCGTTTTATATACAAGGTGAAGGTTTACATATAGTCTGAGTTTGGTGCAATTGTTCAGACTTTTTGTACTCTGATCAGTATTGCACATCACAGTGCAGATTACTACGTAGAATCTACATGAGGCAGGTGCATTTCCAGCCTGATAACAATGCCTCCCATCCACACAGCGGAGAAGTGACGCCACTTGTCATCGTACATTTTATTGGACTGATACATGTTTTTTTGTTTTTTCAAGTTTTGGTTGAGTCACAAG